AGGCACAGATGTGAGGGCAGGGTCCCTGCCTGTGTTGATGGACTCTGAGCCGTGTGCGTCTCCATACCAAGCTTTCCAGATGTATTAAACCTGCCAACTAAGTGAACCAAGTGCCATATTGCAGCTTTAGACATATCCCATTAGAAAAGGTGACTGGGTCAAAAATCAGGGGAACCCACTCCATCACAAGTTGTTACGGGGGGAGTTAGCTTGAAAACAGGGTCTTGGAACCATATGTGTAAGAAATTAGGATAAAAAAAGCTCTGCAGTCTTTAGGAATTTTTTTTTATATAAACCCCAAAATAAAACAGTTGTGCATATATGATGCTGTGAATAGAGTGGATTGTTTCTTTGCTGAGACCCCCACCAAAACTGGGGCCTGCTCCTCCTGCCAGCAGCAGTGGTGCTGCCTGATGGATTTATTAATAGAGCCTAATCAGTCAAAGCATGGCCATAAAACTTGGAGCTGGAGCTGTAGGGACTGCCACAGAAGTTGTGTTGATTTAATACACTGGTGTTGACCCAGGGCAGGGAGCTCCTGATCTGAACCAATGGTGTTAAACAGATTGGAAACTGGTGGGAGCCCAAGGAAAAGGGAGTTCAGTCTGAGGAAACTAATATAAACATACATTCCTTATGGTGTGCAGGTAGTTGTCCAGCCCGGAGGGCTACAGGAGGGCAGCTGAGAGCACACAGCAGCTCATCCAGACTTCTGACTTTTTACCAGAGGACTGTTGCTGTGGGGTCCCGTGGAGCCCAGCTGGAAAAGCAGGGGAGCCCTGAGCTTTTGGAAAGAGAGCTGGATAAAGACCAGTCTTGTTGCTTCATGACATATATTTTGCTTTGTTTTTTTGCTTTCTTTTTATTTTTTCCCCCCAAACTATTCCCCCAGCCCTGTCTGTTTTCCTCTGGAGCTGGGGTTTGGGTTACCCTGCTGACAGCTGCAGCTTTAAACCCACACAGATGAGGCTGCAGCCGCCCCAGGAGAGAGAAGCTGGAGCAATTGCTACTGCCTGGATTTTTTTCCCTTCTTTTTTTAAATTTCTTTTTTTCTTGTCTCTTCACCCTGAACAGATCATGCAATAGTCAGCTGAAGGAAGCTTGCCAGGGAAAAGCAAAAACAAATGGTGTTCATTGTTTTGACTTGCTCTTCTCATTGGAAAAGGGCCATGGGCCCATCCTTCCGGATTTATTTTTTTAATGTGTTTTTGCCTCTATAAACAGAAGCTCTTATTTGTTCAGTAAAACCAGCTCTCCTTCAAGAGCTTTATGCCCCGCCCTCCACCTACAAGCAACCCTGAAGAAATGCAGCAGACCATACTAAAAATATCTCAGAACTGGGATTTTTAGGAGGGCAGCAAGTGGCACCTTGGCGGCATCGGTGCTGATCAGGTGGGGTAAAAAACTCAAAACCTCAAGCAAATGAAATTTGTGCTGTCTTTCCCACTTGATTCCACTAAATCTGCCCTAGCAGGGGAGGAGGGTGCATAGATCCACCCTGGAAGCAAGTGCAGGGGCAGGCTCTGGTTAAATGCTGCCTTAGTGTAACCCACCACGGGTGGGCTGGAGGCTGTGCTGCCTCCTCCCTGCAGCAGCACGAGCAGCAGGACAGGCCTGAGTACTGCACAGGGGCAGCTCTTCAGAGCTCCACGTGTCCTACACAATAATGAAGTCCAGGCTAAAGTTTGCAGGCTGAGAAATTGCATTTTGAATAGCTGGGACTAACCCTGCCACCTGGGAAGGAGCATCCTTGGGGTAAATTTGGGGTTTGTGATCATCCCACTGCCACTTGGCAAGATAGCAAGACAGATTTCATCACTGACACAAAAAAATAGCAGTCAGAAAATAATCATCACAAGGAGACAGAGCAAGTTTTAGCTTGGTTCACATGGCTGCCCCACACAAGTCATACTGCCCCAGGCACAGAAAGGGGGAGCAGGAAGGAAAGCCCAGGAAAAGGAAGGGCAGGAATGCTTTAAACCAGCTTTGCCACCCAAAGCAGCAAATGCTGTGAGTACACTTCTGCTTCAGTTAATTTGTGAGGGACCAAGCAGTTTAAAAACAAATCCACCCCTTTGCACTCTGAAAGGAGAGGCACAGGCAGTGCCCTCCTGCCACCCTTTCCCTTGCACTCTTGCAGATTACCTTTGTGCTGTGGCATTTCCCACAACATTGGGCTAGGGCTGAGAGACTGGGCAACCCAGGCGGTTGTAGGGAGCCAAGATTTGACTCATTGCTAAGGGTTGGTTTGGGCAGGGAGAGTGGAAAAAGCAGAGAAAAGGCTTGGGGATGGGACTGCAAGTGCCCTCATTCCCCTGCCCAAGGAGAGGACTCAGCTGTAAAGCAGACGGGTCTGCAGAGTAGGCAGGGAGCAATGTGGGACCAAAGAAGCAAGGGAAGGGTGCCACAGGCCAGGCTACTAAGCCAGTGTACAAAAAGAAGTGAATAGGGTTGATGCTGTCAGTGCTGCCTGTGGTGCTGCACCCAGCAGTGCAGAGCAGCCCCCCAAATTCAGCTTTTCCACAAGGTTACATCTTTTAAAAAAAGTAAGGGAGCACTGCTAAGGCTTTGTGTTACTGGGTAAGCAGATCTGCCTTTGCCCTTGCAAGAGTAGTGCCAAGCACAGTTATGGGAGTGGTGTATTTCAGTCAGCAGCAGTTTATTTGTGTCTGTAAATACATGCAGCCTGACCACAGCTAGCATTCCTGAACGAAAGCTCCAGCAGAAAGCATCAACGGGTCAGATGTGATGGAAAAATGTCAGTGCTTGTCTAGCCAAGTTGGAATCCGGATGCCCTTGCAACATCATCTCCTCCTGTTTCCCCAGCCACAGCTGAGGGCTGCTGCTGCTGCAGGGTTGCTGGGGCTGGGGCTCACCACTGCCTTTTCCCTGTGCTGCTGGTCTGGGGGAGGAGACAGCACCATTCCTTGGGAAAAGCCCAGGCCAATGGCAGCATGATTTGTTTTGTTAATTGTGGAGGTGCAGTGGAACCGTTCTCTGTTACACAAGCCTGAGTGAGGCACGCCTGCCTGCATCCTCATTGCCCTTTACAGTGGACTAAGAAGGTGCTCAGCAGCTGAAGGCAAAGCCCAGGCTCTGGAAGATGAATGCTCCACACTCTTGAACTTATTTAACCTTGGGTTTCTCCAGCCAAGTGGAAAGCCAAGGAGCTAAAGTTTTGAGAAAAGGATCACTAAGCTGCCTGCAGGAAATGTCACAGTGAGGTGACTCAGCATCTGCAACCCAGGAGCATATCCCATCACCATCTCCATACCTGAACACAAGAACTGGAATTGGCTGTTGTTCTCTCCACTGCCAGCCTGCAAAGGTCTAAACTATACAGCAGAGACACAGGAGTTTATTTCATCCTGTCTCTTTCTCATGCCCACTAGTTTCTGCTGGTGTCCACTGGATGCAGCCAGATCAGAAACTTGTCCATTCAGCTGCCTGGCCCAGGATCACCCAGTCTGTGTGGGGGCAAAGGTTGCAGCCATGGGCTTGCAGGACCCTGTCGTGCACAAGGACATGGAGGCTTTATTTCCTCAATTACTTTATTGCATTTTAATACAAGTCACCACTATCAAGGCAAGCGTACTGGTGATTAGCAAAACAAGTGTATCTGTGCTATGAGTAACTACTGTAAGGCTGTCATGGTTTAACCCCAGCTGACAACTCAGCCCCACACAGCCACTCTCTCACTCTGCCACAGTGGGAGAGGGGAGAGAATCAGAAGAGTAAAAAAGTGAGAAAACATAGGTCAAGATAAAGACAGTCCCATAAGTAAAGCCACAGCTGCATGCAAGCAAAGCAAAACAAGGAATTAATTCCTTCAGAGTCTGGCTGGCAGGTGTTCAGCCAATCCCAGGAAAACTGAGCTCCTTCACGCCTGGCAGTGACTCAGGAAGACAAACGCCATGGCTGTGAACGTACCCCCCTTCCTTCTTCCCCCAGTTCCATGTGCTGAGCATGATGCTCTGGGATATCCCTGTGGTCAGTGGGGGTCAGCTCCTGGCTGTGTCCCCTTCCAACTCCTTGTGCACCCCTAGAATCCTTGCTGGTGGGGTGCAGGGAGGAACAGAAAAGGCCTTGAATCTGTGTAAGCTCTGCTCATCTGTAACTAAAACATCTCTGTATTATCAACACTGTTTCCAGCAAAAATCTGAACTGTGCTAGCTGCTCTGAAAAAAATTAACTCTATCCTAGCCAAAACCAGCTGAAGCAAATAAATATTTCAACAGCAGCAGAAATCAATATTAGCAGCAATGAATATTAGTAGCAAGTCTATATTTAAATTTTACAAGTCACCATAAAATTACCACTAGTAAAGCAGCAAAAATACTTACCAGTAATTATTATGTATGACAAGAGAAGTTGTAGCTTCAAGTTGTAGCAGGGGTGGTTTAGATTGGATATTAGGAAAAATATCTTCACTGAAAGGGTTATCAAGCATTGTAACAAGATGCCCAGAGAAGTGGTGGAGTCAACAAACCTGGAGGCATTTAAAGGCAAGTAAATGTAGCACTTTGGGATGTGGTTTAGTGGTGGACTTGTCAGTGCTGGGGTAACACTGGGGTTCAATGAGCATAAGGGTTTTCTCCAACCTAAATGATTCTATGTTTTTATGATTCTAATCCAACCCTTGCATACTTGGCGTGAAGAGGTCATGGTTAACTTTGGAGGTATTTGAACATCAGACAGTGTGCTCAGAAAGGCAGCAACCCTCCTTTTGTGTGTTCAGCTCCTAGGGTTACTGGATGGCAGCATAGACTAAAAATATATACTCAGTGATTCAGAAGGTCTTTTCCAACCTAAATGATTCTGTGATTATATGCATGCCTGTATGTGTGCATGTGTGCATATATATATATATATGTGTGTGTGTATGTGCACATACACATGTAAAATGTTATAAATACATATATAAAATGTTATATAAAATGTTATATAAATTGTTGCTGGTACCAAGTGCTTGTCAAACCCATCCCAGCAGTGGGGCCAGCTGACAATGGGCAAAGTCTCACTTGGACAAGGTATTGGGTCTGACTGAGCTGAAGTTAATTTTCCCTCAGCAGCCCTCACAGTGCTGTGCTTTGCAGTGGAAAAGGTGTTGGTAGCTGTATTGCATGCTGTAGTAAAAAGTAAATTGTAGTTATAGAGTAACAAGCTCTTGTGCAGGACACAGAGTGTGTCAGCTGCACTGCTTATCTCTTGCTGAGTTTGGGAACATGTTAACAAAAACAATGGCTCTGTGCTTTGCTCTTACACTGGTGGCCTTGTTGTGTGTGGGGAGCTATGTTCTGGGGACAGTAATTGATGTGAATGCTTTTGTAATGCAGGCTCCCATGGTCTTTGCTCATCCATATATAAGCCATTTAATACTCTTAATAGTATTAGCTAATACTGTTGGCATTCTATGGAGTTTATGGAATCTGGCATCATCCTGGTGTAGGAGAAAACAAACTTTAGGTGAGGAGATACTGAAAGATGCCCTGAGGCATCCAGTTCCCGGGTGGCAAGGTGCATGGAAGGATTTGGGCAGGTTCCTAGGGCAGTTTTCGTCTCCCATTGCCTGGGATTTTACACCTGAGCAGGTAATCAACCCTGACAAACTGACCCAGCAGCTGATAGAAGGGTGCCTTGCCCACCCCTCTGAACACCAGCAGCTTCTTGCTCTGTACTGGGGCTTGGCCTGTGCCTACCGAGCCACTGTTCAGTACTCTCAGAGGTCTGTAGTGGAGGCAGGAAGCCAAACTGCATGTGAGGACACTCTGGCTGAGTCAGGGACTCAAACCACAGCAGCTACAGTAACTGCCCCAGAAGTGAAAGCAAAAAAATGGACAAGGCAAGTTACACACTCTTTCCATCGATTAGTAAGGGAGGAAGAAGAAGAGGAAGAAGAAGGGGAAGTAACAGTAGGAAAGGAGGGGTTGGATCAAGAGGCAGGTCCTTCAACAAAGAAATCAAAAGGAGTGAGGCAAATCAAACAGGAAACCGAAGTTACTCGGTCCCTGACCTCATCAGAACTTCGAGACCTGCGCAAAGATTACAGCCGCCAGCCAGGTGAGCCAATTTCTGCCTGGCTGCTTCGGTGCTGGGATAATGGGGCTGGCAGACAGCAGTTAGAAGGTCATGAAGCCCAGCAGCTGGGATCCCTTGCTAAAGATCGGGAAATTGAAAGAGGAATTGGAAAAGAAGGACCAATTTGCAGCCTCTGGAGACGGCTCCTCTCAAGCGTGAGGGCAAGATACCCATTTAAGGAAGATCTGGTGAACTCCCCAGGGAAGTGGACCACTGCAGATGAAGGTATCCAGTACCTGAGAGAATTAGCTGTGCTGGAAATCGTCTATAGTGATCTAAAAAGTGACAGTGTCCCTGAAGATCCAGAGGATGCCCCTTGCACAATGGCCATGTGGAGGAAGGTGGTTCAAAGTGCCCCTGCATCATATTCCAGCAGCTTGGTATCACTGTACCACCCGCAAATGGATACACCAACCGTAGAGATGGCGTCCTCTTGGCTCCGAAATGTAGAAGAAACTCTGGGCACCTCCTCGTCCCTACAAGCCAGCGGCCCAGCTTTTAGGGGCAGCCCAAGAGATCGTTCCTCTCCTTCCCCGGTCAGAGGGAAGGGAAGCCCCAAGCGCCGGCCCCGTGGTGAGCTCTGGTTCTTCCTGCGGGACCAGGGGGAGGACATGAGGAAGTGGGTAGGTGAGCCCACCTTTAAGCTGGAAGCCCGTGTCCGTGAACTGAGAGGGAAGAAAGCTGTTAAAGGGTCACCCAAGAAGACTGCCAGTGTAGTTGCCACGGAGAGACAAGAAAGCAATCAGCGATTTCCCAGACATAAAAGAGCAAAAATCACTTCCTTTCACCCTGATGAGGGCACTTCTGATCTGGCATCGCAAAGGTCAGATAGTGAATACTCTGACCAGGAACAGGAATAGAGGGTCCCTGCCTCTGGCCAGGAGGAGGAATTGGGATGACCAGGCATACTGGACTGTGTGGGTTCGGTGGCCTGGCACATCAGATCCACAGAAGTGCAAAGCTTTAGTAGATGCATTGTACACTGATAGCATCAATGCACAGGAGTGCAGAGTCCATCTGGGTCTTTGGAGTCACGGGGGATGCCAGGAGTTTTCTGTGTTAGAGGCCAAGGTGAGCTTAACAGGGAACAAGTGGGAAGGATACTGGCTCTGGCTGTGACTGGCTCAGAGGCCCCTTGTATCCTTGGCATCAACTAGATACTTCAAGGATCCAAAAGGATATCCATGGGCTTTTAGTGTAGCTAGAGTGAATACAGAGAAGATCAAAGAGCTATCCACTCTGCCTGGCCTCTCAGAAGATCCCTTCATTGCAGGATTGCTGCAGGTTGAATGAAGACCAGCAAGCACCAATTGCTACCAGGACTGTGCAGCAGCAGCAGTATCTCACCAACCAAGACTGAGCCCCATCCATGAACCCCCCATCCATTAGTCCTTGGAGAGCCAAGGAGTGATCAGCAGGACCTGCTGACCCTTTAACAGCCCCATGTGGCCATTGTGAGTCTGATGGGGAATGGAGGCCGACTGGAACTGGACTGTTGGGGCCTGAATGATACATCTGTGAGTGCTGCTGTACCTGACATGTTGGAAATTCAGTATGAGCGGCAGTCAAAGGCAGCCAAGTAGTGCCATATGGGTTACACACAAATGTGAAACGTGCTGCAATCAAGTGAGCCACACAAGTGGAGTCTCCTTGGAAGAGAGGGCGGTGGCTGGGGTTCCAGTATGGTGAGGCCTGGCAAATTGACTGTGTTGGGCTGTTGCCACGAACACGCCAAGGCAAGAGTCACATCCATGTTAGAAGCAGCAGCTGGCTGGCTGGAAACATCCCCTGTAAAACATTGCCACTGCTTGAGAGAACTTGAGATCCCAGGCCTTGAGATCCAGATTTTGTGACAACATGGTACTACATTGATTCAGACAATGGGGTTCGCTTTAAAAATAAACCCATAAACTCTGGGGCAAAGAAACATGGCCTTGAGTGGATGTATCACATCCCTTATTACCCACAGACCTCTGGGAAGACTGAAAGGTATAATGGACTGCTGAAAACTCTGTGAGAGTGTAAGGTAATGGGCCATGGAAGCACTGGGATGAAAATTTAGCAGAAGCCACTTGGCTAGTCAGCCCTAGGGGATCTGGTAACTGCCCTGGTCCTGCCCAAACAAAACCCCTACGCACTGTGGTAGGAAATAAGGTCCCTGCACACACAGGGAAGTGGGAAAGTTAGTGTGGATTTCTCCTCCCATGGGAAAAGGCAAGCCCATTTCTGGGATTGTCTTTGCCCAAGGACATGGATGTACTTGGTTGGTGATGAAGAAGGATGGGGAGACCTTGTGCGCACCTCAAGGAGATTTAACCTTGGGGGGAAAATAATCTGTGGTGTGAGTTGTATGTTGCAGGAAGTAGCAGAAATGACACAAACTGATGAAGAATGATGAAGAATGAGGAGCAAGACAAATGCAAAAACAACCAGAGCCAGGCTGGTGTCAGTGTTCAACAATGAAGTGTGCTGCTTCTGGCCTGATCACTCGTCCTGATGGAATGGAGCCCAAGTCATGGATCTGGAAGGATGGAGGAAGCCCATGAAATGGGAAAATAATATCTGTCATTGAAAGGACAGGGGATAGTGGTTAATGAAAATGTATGTTTGACACAGAAATGGTTTAAGGATGTAATTTAAGTTATATGTGTGGGCAAGAAAGCATTCCAGTAATGAGAAAGAAATACAGTGGAACAGTTGGAAGATATATAAATTATGTGGGATCTGAGTATGACGCAAATGGTATGGAATGAGGGGTGGACAGTGCATGGAATAAGGGGTCTGGCTGAGATGGAGTTAATTTTCCCTCAGCAGCCCTCACAGTGCTGTGCTTTGCAGTGGAAAAGGTGTTGGTAACACACCAGTGCTCTGGCTACTGCTGGGCAGACCTGTCCCTCTAACATTCCCCCCATCAAGGGGCTGGGAGTGGGCAAGATGCTGGGAGGGCACACAACCAGGCCAGCTGACCCAAATGAGCCAAAGGGATATTCCATACCGTGTGATGTCAGCTCAGATATAAAAGCTAAGGGAGGGAGGAGGATCAGGGAGGCATTTGTTACTCTGCAGTGTTTGCCTTCTGGAGCCACCACCACGTGTGCTGAAGCCCTGCTTCCCGGGAAGTGCCTGAACATCGCTGCCTGATGGGAAGTAGAGATTGACTTTTTCTCTTTGCTTATGCACATGCAAACTTTCAATTGCCTTTTTCATGCTTTAGTAAACTGCCTTGTCTCAACCTACGAGTTGTTTTCCATCTTATTCTCCCCCGTGTCCTGCTGGGAAGGGGAGAGATAGAGAGGCTCAGTGGGCACCTGGCACCCAGCCAAGGTCAACCCTCACGGGCTGACTGCATCACAGAGCCTGGAGTCAGCCTGGCACCCCCGGTGAGGGTCTGTTCTGCCAAGGAAATACCACTGGGAACAAGGATTTGTGCAAATTGGGATGCATCTCCTGTGTCCTGCTGCAAAGAGGAGCACTAGAGAGGCTCAGTGGGCACCTGGTGCCTGGCCAAGGTCAACCCTCATGGGCTGACTGCATCACGGAGCCTGGAGTCAGCCTGGCACCCCCGGTGAGGGTCTGCTCTGCCAAGGAAATACCACTGGGAACAAGGATTTGTGCACACTGGGATGCGTCAGAGAATGAGGCTCCATTTGGGGTACAAAGTAAGTCCTTTTTATACCACAGAGACATAACCAGGCATAGGACACCAGCACTTAGAGCAGCCAATAGGTGCTGCTGACTTCTATTTTCATCTGGCACAGTCAATAAGTTATGATGTAAATGGGAAAGAACACAAGCTTGTATTGATTCTGGAAACCTCATGGACCTGTTAGTACAGTGTTAAACACTCTGCCTTGATTACCTACAGGGTAGTGGTTGTGATGAAAGTTAAATGTCAGACCTTGAGATGGGAATGCCTAAGGAGCAAGATGTGCTGTGGTACAAGTGTCTATCCTCTGTGGTGACAATCTCTTAGCCACAAAAACAGAACCCTCCAGGGGTTAAAAAGTTGGCCACCAGCTTCACCCAGGGTCATTGTCATGTTTGTAGAATGAATTAGAAAAATATGGATTAGAAAAAAAATTCAATTTTGTTATAATCAGAGTGCCCAACAGAGGTTATGAACTACAGTCAATTGTGTTGCTTGGGTCACAGATGTCCCAATTACCATTAGTACTAAGCCACCTCTGTAGACAGTAGCATGTAGAATTAGGACCGGTGAGATTACAGTATCTTTGACAATTCATGTTGTTAACATTCCATGTAAGATGCCAGAGTCCATTAAAACCTCTTTTGTTTGTATTTGCTGATTCATTATTTCAGGTCCATGAGATTTCCAGAATCAATAAAAGCTTGTGCTCTGTCCCATTTACACCAAAACCACACTTGGGTGTGATTGTAACACGAAGTGTAATTATAGTTGCTTGTCTTCCTCACCCAAACTGAATCTGTATCCTGGGGCATTATAATGGACTATAATCTAATGGACTAACTAATGGACTTAACATATGAATGTGCTTTAAAGGCTGTTGTTATTGATAATTTGGGGTACTGGGGAGTAAGTATGCCAAATTAGGTTGACACCAAGATGCTTCAGAGACAGGTTCTGCTGAGCCTCAAAATTTAGCATCTAATGGTTAAGGGTGGTGTAAGGAATGCCAACAATCCAATTTGTTGCCTGCTTGAGAAATTATATTCATAAATTGTACAATGTGATCACTATTTCATCCTTTAAATAAGGAACAAGCAATAACGTAGTGACAAGGCATGGTGTGCATAATGTAAGTTATAAAAAAGACAAATGCTCATGATGTTTTTTCATTTCCTTGCCAAATCAGTATGACATGTGGAAGAGTGGAGGAAGCCCATGGACCCTGAGAGTAATAACTGTCTGTAAAAGGACAGGGGACAGGAGTTAATGAGAATGTATAAATGTTTAACTGTGTAGTTTGAGTTGCAAGCATTGGTAAGAAGGGATTTCAGTAATGAGGACTAAATACAATTGAATCATATACCGTGTGAAGTGTGGGCCCCACAATTTAAGAATGATGTTAAGGTCCTTGAAAACATCCAGAAGACTCCAGGTTTATCTAGTTTAGAGAAAATGGGGCTGAGGTAAGACCTCATTGTGCTCTGCAGCTTCCTGAGGAGGGGAGGCAACTTGTTCCCTGCCCGCAGTGTGCTGGTGCACCATCATGCCTACCCCACAGTGTTTGCTAGATGACCATGGGCATCTCCTTTAGCCAGCCTACTGTGAGTCCTTTTCCTTGCAGGAGATCCCCTGATTGTCTCCATTCCAGATGATGTTCCTGTTTGCAGGGGGCCACTTTGAGTCAGATCTATTAATTTCAGCATTTCAAGCATTTTGTCCCTTATTACTCTGAGCTCCCTTAAGCCTCTGGATGACCCTGTCCTGACCTTTCCTTTGGGAGTGCTTCCCTGTCCTTGTTGCCTCCCCTAAGGACTGTCACTTTTCCAGCCCTTCCCAGGCCACTGTGGTGTTTCAGTGCCACATTTCATGCCATAACATTAAGGCCAGGTTTTTCTGGTCTCTCTGGATGCTGTATTTTGCAATTTTAGTTTCCCTGCTGATGTTGCTGGCACAACCATCATGTCCCAGGGTGTTACCTCTGTTCCTTAAGGAAATCCTGAGCAGTCAGCCTCATTGTCCAGCCAGAGAACCCATCAAGACTACTAGAGGGAGGGGGAAGGAGGCAGCTCCACACTCCCAGCATTTTTCTAGAAGCATTTATTATGGATGATAACAGGGAGAGGATTTTCACTCTGGCCTCTGCATCGGTGTTTAGGAGAAATATTCTTCCTGTCAGGAATATCTGTCCAGCCTCAGCCTGATGAAGGATCACTGCTCCAGCCCCCAGCGGGTACCACCCATCCCACCCAGTCCTCAGGAGGCTTTGGCTGTTCTGCATGGACAACTGCCATAGCTGCTCAGCATGAAAATTCCTAGAAGTCATTGTGACCCTGGCTGGCAGGGGGGGACCTTCCTCTCCAGGAGGAGCCAGGAGTAGCCCCTGGAAATTTTAATGTCAGGGTACAAGGAGGCTGCCTTATCTGGACAAAGTTTGGGCAATGAAGAGGGAGAGGAAGACTTGCTGCCAGAATCAAAGCCTCCTCCTCCTCATTTTCCATTTTCAGTATTTATCTTTTCAGTGATCTGCTCTGAGACCAGGCACAGAGGCTTTTGCTGTAGGTGCCATAGGTCCGGATGTCTGAGGGTAGTTTTTAACTAATTGGTTTGCAACAAAGCCATGGGATTCAAAGGCAACTGCTCACACTTCTGCATCCTGAGCTTGCTGCAAAGCTTCCAGTTCCTGCCTAGCAGTGCTAAACAAAGCACCTACAGCTGACACCTCTGTGAGAAGCCCGATGAAGGGCCCCTTGCTATTCTCTGCTTTGCATTTGAGCGTCCTGTCACCTCTGAAACTCACTATGCAGTCTTTCCAAATTCAACCAATTCTTAGACACCTTATCCCTGTCCCACAGAGGGGTTTTCTACAAGCATCTTGCCATTTTCACTGCTTTTCTACTTCCTTCTCCCAAGCATCCATGACCTGTTTATCACAGATCCACACTTCTGACACCAATTAATGCCACAACCCAGAAGGATTACTTGCTTTGTGAGGATGCAAAGATTGCAACTGTTTGTAGTATGCCTGACTCTGTTATGCACAAGGACACAGAGGATTTATTATCTGTTTTCTCTTATTCCTTACACTTTAGTACTATCAAGGCAAGTATAGTTACAGTTGGCAAAACAAGTAGATCTACTCTACAAGATACTACAAATTACTACCAGAAAGCAAACAGGGATTTCCACAGCAGCTGCAATCAATACTAGCATCAAGTCTGTATTTCAGTATTGCACAGCCTATGACATACCACCACCTTATGCACAGTTACAGCCTGGCTCAGGCTTCCCCCTGTCCTTTGTCCTGGCCAGCCTCCAGCCTCCTCCACAGCCCTGCAGGTTCACAGCTGGACTGTGGCTCACACCAGCTTATGAGAAAACGCTCAGAGGCCACATGGGTCATGTAGGAACAGAGAACCAAGACTGAGGACAAAGCCAACCCAGACGCACAGGCAGGGTCCCCGCTCCCAGCATGAAAATGCCTGCCAAAGGAGTTGGAGGAAAACCTGAAGCTGGAGCAGGCACCAGGATGAGTTTTAATTTCTTGCAGCATTCAAAGCTGTGTTGTCACTGTGGCACAGACTGACCAAGACCCACCAGCATGGTTACAAACAAAGAAACAAACAAATAAACAAACAAACCATCCAGCATGTCTAGCCCACAGCCCAATCACAAGCCTTCCAAAACAGACCATTCCCTGAGACAGTGACCTCCAAAAGTCAGATCTGAAAACAAACTTCCTCTGGGTGTTTCACATTCCTTTGGTGCTATTCTCTAAACGCAATGTTTGTGTCTCTTACTAAAAAAATCCACAGCAACAGGCTTTCCACATAAACTTGAAGGGAAGTGATTCAGTTATTTTTCTGGGATTAAGTTTCAAATAAATTTTCATAGACTAGGCTATGGAAACTATAATATGACCTGTCAGTTAACCAATAATAAAGCAATGTTGATACTGTGGCATACAAATAATACTTTTAAGGACGATGCTGGTTTAACTTGTCTGGTTTTAATTCAGCGCTAGGTTTATCAAGACTTTGCAAGAATTTAAAGTCTGAGTAAAGTACTGTACTTAGGCAGTTATACTGATTTAAGTGCCTTGGCTGGGTTCTCTTGACATAAATACCCACAACCTCTGAGACACAGAGTGGACTTTACACACAAATATCAACAGCTACGTAACAATTCCTTAGTGGCTCAAGCTTGTGCTGGTCTCACAGTTCTCAGGAACTGCTGCTCAGAAATAGAAGCAAGTCATGCAGCTTTCTGCTGCAAGCACTGGCAACACTTGGCCACAATTTATTTCACTATGAAAAGAGTGATTTACTTTCATTCTGTTATAAACCATACTCCAGAATGGATAAGGATCACAATTTTGTATAACATATAAATGCCAGTTAATATTAAATTGAGAAATTTAAATATAGCCTTATGTCTCCACCAAAGGCTCAATCAGATCACAGAATAAACTGCAAGAGTTTCAGATTCATATATTATGATGCAAATGAGTTTTGTAAATTGTGACCTAGTTCCCATGTTAGGAACAGTTGGGACCAACAGCAGGGACTGTGTGATGAATGCAAGCAGCAGGAGCAAGCAAGGAAATTAACATTTGTTCTTAATTTGAAATGGATTTTTAATCACTTTCAGGTGCCTCAAAGGAAGTGCACACACTTGTTTACTATAATCATTCTGACAGAAGAATGCATATAGGAGGTAACACGTTTCTGTTTTACTAATTGAAATGTTTGCAGCAGTGGTGTCACACCAAGTGCCAGAACACAGCTCTTTCTGGAAGGCACAAAGAAGGACTGTGAAATGAAGTTTCCCAATTGATCCGTTCCTCAGAACTCGCTTTGTAAAGCAAGTGAGCTGCACGTACCCTCTAAAAGTGACTGGGTATTAGATCACATTCATCTTTCCAAATCCAGTTGCTATTTTTTAAGCAAGAGGCCTGATACACTCGCTCTCCCAAGAGCCTGCTCAGGGATTTAGCTCCACGGCTGTCAGCCACATGCTTAAACACGATTCAGCAGTTAGTGGAAAATACTCAACTCATGAAATTCTGCTCGTGCTGTAACAGCAAGCCCACAACAGCACACTGTGCTGGGCTTCAGCCTGAGGCAGCTTTCTGATAAACTATTGTTTTAAATTAGCTTTAGAATACTGCTTTAAACGTTCGAATGACGTTTAAATGTTTTAAATACACCCAACAGCAAGGGTGTAACTTGTTACAAACCAGACAGATTTTCATTCTGAGGATTATCTAGAACTGCAAGTTATTGGAAGCTGTAAAAAACTGCAGAGCGTCAACGCTCCCCAAAAATAGAGTCTCAGCTCCCTCTGGTGGAAAAGGTCATTTTCTGCAAGAAGGTCTAAGTGAGAGTCTTGTTTCTGCTACAGGCCTCAAGACCATAAAATACAGACAGCGAACAAAATCCTCTTTGAAGGACTGGAACTTCTTAGAAGTTGATGTGAAATATCCCATCCCACTGACTGTTGCAGGGTGTCTGAACAGGATACTTCATCATCAGCAAGTTCCATCTTCCACAGGGCAGAATTCTCCAGGTGTGAATTATTTATATTAAATAATTAATATATCAATAATAATAATATAATCTAATAATATAATATTAAATTATTATATTTAATCCTACTGAAGCAACTGGTAGCCTCAAGGAAAATAACACACACAACGTTCTAACATTCTCTCCACAACATCTTAGGCCCCACAAGTAGCTGAATAACGAAGCAGAGCACTGTGTCACTAAAACAGGAGGCATAAAGCAAAGCTCTCAGATCCCAACCTGTGTCCCTTGGTCTTAGACATCCTGCGTAAATTAAACCAATCAAAAAAAGCTCCTCCAATCTATTTTTGAAGACCTGGTGAAGAGCCCAGCACTAATGGCAAAAACCTCACTAAACAGAGTTTTTCCTAGTCTAGACGTAAGTGTATTAACAAAAGGACCCAGCTCTCTGTGTGCTCTGGAACAGCAACAGTCCAGAACTGCATCAGCACTGGAATAAAGTTTTCGTTGCTATTTGCACCACATACATGCTAGATACACTTAAGGTTATTCCATACTTTATAACCAAAACCAATCATTAAAGATATTTCTATTTCTCCTTATTTACCATGTACAGTGGAAAGTAAAGCCTGCAGGTATTCCAGCTATTGTCACAAGAAGTCTAATAAAGTATATTTTTATTTCAATTAGAGAAATCAACAGCTCCACTGTAATTAAGCACACAACTAACTGCTCTGACAAATTCTGTAAACAGAATCATGACCAACTCCTGCAGTCACAGACACACCAGGATGACTTTTTATAATATTTCTGCCACAGAACAAAGACATATAGAGCCATTGAAAAAGGAAAATGGTAGCAAAAAAGAATTTATTAAACACCAGATAATTCAATTTCACAGTATAGCATTAAAACCTGCATTTGCTCGTTTGGAAACAGGAGAGCTGAATAACCCCATGAAGGTGGGGCAGCACATCAAGTGTGCAGGTGAAGTTTATTAAGGATGTAACTAAATACCATTTCCACGGCCAGAAAGAATTTGAGGGTGGGGAAAAGAGACGAAGGCAACAACAGCCAAAAAAATACCCTTGGGGTGTTTTGTGCAATGTTTTTCAAACAAGAAATCCCACTAAGGCTAAAAATTTGGCATGAAGTTCTGGGTTCTTACATTCAAGTATCAAAGAGCAACAATGGCAAGCACAATTTGACCCGTGTGTACAATTAAAACAACTTTGTAATAGATTTTTCTCCAAAAGGGCAGTTTTCTACAGGATGAAGTGTCCATGTATTTAACTGGACCCCTCATGAGGGCTGCAGCTCCATCAGCTTTGCTTACACTGGCTAGGACAGTGTGTGGTTTTCAGTCTTCTGCTGGAGCACCAAGCCTGCTCACGTAGCTCTCCCACGCTGCCTTCCTGTACTTCTCTGCTTCTTGGAGACGGTCTGAAGCTGCCAAGATGCCACGTCCCACAATAATGATATCTGAGCCTTTTTCACCAATAACTTCCTTGGGGCTTAGGTACTTCTGTCCAAGGTTATCCCCTGAAATACAGACACCATTTATTTTTGTTTGTACAAAACTGTATGTACTAAAAACCTTCAGGGAGGTGCTGGAACAAAACAGGTTTCCCTGTCCCCAGCTCTCATCCTCCTAACAATCCACAAACAGAACTAGAAATTGCATGGCCAACCAAAAAACACAGATCAAATCTGACAGCCAGCACCCTCCTTTTTCATGGTTTACCATTCGGTATAGATGGAACAGTTACCCAAAGAAGCACCAGTCAGGATTGCTAAAATAATCAGCCTTCTTAAAACAGGCAAAACCCCCAAACATTATTGCAAAAGCTTGTGATTTCAGTTTAGGTCTCATAAAAATTAAGTATTGCAGAGAAACATATCTCCCGTATCTGCTTCAAAGATAACCTCTTCAGTCAGCACAAGACTTTCCATTCACTGCATCTATATCAAAACCAAGTGTTTCAGCTGGACTTCTCTATTTGTTATTTTTTTTTACTACTACTGAATAGTTTTACATCTAACACCTATCTGGAGACATTTTACATGTGTTCAGGAATGAGCTTTATGGTACACAGACCTCAAAACAAGAAAAAAGGATTGTATAGCCTGCTCACTGCCTTCTGGAGCTCCCAAGAAAGGAATCAGCATATCCAGAAATATGAGAGACAGCCCTCAGTGGGAAACAGACTCCTCCCAGCTGAGAATCAGCATACAAGCCCTCTTCAGAAGTCACTTTTTCACTGGAGACTAGATCACTTCTGTACTTACAAACAGACTAAAAATATTTCAGAAAAAGTTACCTCCAGTTTGCAGCTGCACTCCTGGGGTTAAGTGAAGAAATTCTGGTTTATTACTAACTCTAGATCCACATATGAATCCAAAAACAAAATCTGAGTTCTCTTCAGCCATCTGTACCTGAAAAAGATCAGTGAACAATTACAAATTATATACTTAAAACTCAGCTGGCCTAGCAATCTGTTTCTCATCCACCCTCTGACACTTTAAGCTGTGTGAGGTAGGGGTATGAAACACCTCTTGCTTTCCCAATATAAAGTCACTCCTTCCCTCTGGCAGAAAAGCGAATGTTGTGTTTCTTTCTATGTTATAAATAATACTGCAAATGGATTTAAACTAATTAGAAATGCACTGCTTAAAGAAACAAATAAAAAAATAAGGGGAGGGTGCTAATAGAAAATGCAACATGTACTAGAGTTCCAAGTGTGAACTCTGACCACCTCTCATCACTGGCCTACAGCTGCAACCTTTGAACACCACACAGTCACATTTCTGAGTCTCCAAGGAAAAAACAAACACCTCTAAGAGTTAGAGCTGGAGGGACTCTTGGAAGTGCAAATATTAGAAACACATAAAACCTCCCTGTCACACTTGACAAGCTTTTATCCCAACACAAGACCGCCCACTTACTGCAGCTTTTGTGTATTCACCCGTTGCAAGGGACCCCTGGGAACTCATCTCTGCAACCAGGAGGCAGCCACGCTGGAGAGGAAGACCCACTTCCTTCAGCCCTTTCACAACTCCAGAGCCTGGAACCACGTGGGCATTGACGATGTCCGCCCAGGACGCGATCCTGAACACGCCACCTGAGAACAGGGGCAGGAAGACACAAAGAGGCAAGGAATTGTCAGAAATGTGTTAAACAGGAAGCACAAGTTAGGAACAGCTGCACACCTTATCACTCACATATTTAAAAGACAGTTTTACTGCTGAAGCTTGACTGTTACAAGTTCAGTCTCATCAGACAGCTCTGACAGCTGCCTAACCACAAAGCGTAATCTCTCAGTTTACTTTTCACAAACACTTGCTAGTGTCTCACCTTTAATATTTACTGAGACATTTATGGTAGCCCAGAAATCTGCTGTCCACAGGTGCTTATCTTCCCAGATAGCACACAGATCATATGGGACATAAGGATCAGGAAAAGAGAACAGCAGTTCTACAGCTGCAGATGGAGTATCAAAAGAAAGCCATGCTGGCACACAAGCAGTACAATAACAGCAGGCAGCAGTTTCTCATGGCACACAACTCAGAAGTACTTACTGAGCACAACCACAGATTCATAAAAAGGTTGAGGTTGGAAGGGACCTCAGGAGCCCTCTCAGCAGGGTTAACTCCAACGCTAGGTCAGACTGCTCAGGGTCTTATCCCCTTGAGTATTTCCCAAGGCTGGAGATTCCATGCTCTCTCCTGGCAACCTGTGCCAGTACTGCAGTTACACACACCAGAGGCAAAGTTACAGTGAATCCAGCTTGAAGATAATCACCTTCATACTGGTGTTTCACCGTGTTTCCAATATCTGCAAATTTCCTGTCTTCAAAAATCAGGAATTCATGTTGATCTGCGAGCGTTCTCAACTCCTTTACTACCTCTTGGGTGAAATCATTCAGGATGTCTATGTGAGTCTTCAGGATGCAGATGCTGGGGCCCAGGGTGGCAGCTAGCTGCAGCAGCTCCTTGGGACTGGTGACATCAGCAGAAAGGCACAAGTTTGTTTGCTTCTTTTCCATGAGCATGAGAAGCCTGGCTGCAATAGGATGCAGCCCTGGCAGCTGGGCACGAGCGCTGAAGCTCAGCTCCTTGCAGAGTCTCTTCACAGGAGCAGCACCATTCTGAGCCACTGCCTCAAACACATTTCCCTCAATGAACTTCTTCACCTTTTCCACCATCTCAGCAGCCACTTCTCCCTGCTGCTGGAGAATCTCCAGCACTCCAGACAAGGTGCACACAGAGTGCAGGTGAATTCCACGTTCCTCTAGCCTGGCCTTCCCACCCTGCTCCCTGTCCAACAGCACTATGGCATCTGTGACTTTTAATCCTTCTTTCTGCAGAGCTTCTGCAGTTTCCAGCACACTGGATCCACTTGTTACCACATCCTCAATGATCAGGCATGTCTCTCCTGGATTAATGGTGCCTTCTACCATCCGCTTGGTACCTGAAAAATAAAAAGCAAACACTCCACCAGATTAAGAAATGCTGGACAACCCAAGAAAACCTTAACAGAATCAAAACTTTATTAGATGACACCACTTATCACAGCTCTTACCACAGCTCACTCACTGATCTGTAATTCAGTTCATAAAGACTGTTACTTCTCCAAGCTGATAAAATACTCTGTGTGTTTCCAGAAGTTACATTCCGTAACAAAACTGACACACTGTTAACAGCATCAATTCAAATGTTTGAATAAGATGACTTCAGAAGTTTAGTACTGTCATGACTTGAAAGCTCAGACTTACAGAATTATTCTCTTGTTATTTAAAACATCTTTAATGCAGCCAAGTTATTAGCACTCTTCAGCATGTCCCATTTTCCACAGGCAGCACTGTGTGCTTAATAAGCCTGTTAGAACAATTAGAAGGAGTAAAGCCTCAAGTGCCTTTGTCCTAACTAACAACAGGCACACATCCATGAAAAGCCTTCTGGGAGGCAAGGACAAAGGGATGCCTGGCATTCCCAGGAGCAGTTAATCGCTGTCACAAGAAGGAACAGCAAACGTTTCCATGGCTGATCCACTACCTGACATAGGAGCACCTTTAAGTTTTGACAAGTGTACTTTCTAATTACACACTGATGGAGGAGGATGTGTAGAAATCCAGTTATATGGCAGGTTAATGCTTCAGTCTGCTCTCCCACATACATGGTTCATTGAGTAAAGGGACTGCTGCTCACCTGGCTCACTGATTACAGGACCACAGGATAATGAAAGAAAAAGGGGTTTGAGAGATAAATGAAGAAGAGACTAGAAAGGCTCCTTTTGGTGTCAATACACAAAAAGCTCGGCTTGAGAGCAAAATGTGGCTCTGGTCTCAGCATGCTGGAGAATCTGAGTTATAAATCCTTGTTTCTGGATGAGGCCACTAACCCAGAACCATAGCAAGGGCAACAAGGAAACAAACAAAAAGACATTGCTAAGAAAAAACTCCCACAAACAAAACCAAAGAAACAGAAAACATCCTTCAAGAGTCTCCAAATCTCCTACAGCAGGACTAAAGCTCCAGGCTAAACAGCAACCAGCTGGGAGAGGCTGCTCAGGCTGGAATGCTGTGGGAGGTTCGCTTTAGGGGGGAAAGGGCCTGCTTCTTAAATTGCAATGGTAGCGTTAAACTGGAAGGGAGACGCTGTGCCTTACAAAAGAACCACAAAGTATATAAAGTCATTTCCCAAACAAGGTAAATTGCAAACTCTTGATTTGAAGGTTTTACCGTAATCTTTTCCCTCCTTCCTCCGTATGAGCATCGGAACCTGATTTTCCGAGCAGATGATGGCGGCCAGCGGCAGCGCCGTGTACGGAACGCCGCACACACAGTCGTACTGCAGACCCGCATCTTGGGCTGCCTGGAAAAGAAGTCCTGCAACCTGGAAAGGAAAACCAAACGCTTTTTAAGAGCCAGGCTGGAGCGAACGTGACTAAATCAATGAAAACCCCTCTGCCTGACACGACCCAACCCGACCCGACCCTGCGGGGTCCCGGCCCTGGGGAGCCGCGGCAGCGCCGCCTCCCCGCTGCCCCAGGGCCGTGAGGGAGCCGCCACCCGCCAAGGGCAGGGACACGCGCGGGGCCCGGGGCCCGCACCTGCCGGAGGAGGCGCGGGTGGGACACGAGGCCGCGCAGGTCGATGTACACGGGGGAGGAGCGGCCGCTCTTCAGCACGAAGTGCCCGAAGCGCAGCGCGCCCGCCCCGCTCAGCGCCGCCGCCACGGCCCCCGCAGGCCCCGCCGCCATCGCCGGGCCCGGCGCACCGAGATGATGCAGAGCGGGAGGCGCGCGGGGCGGGGACATCGTGTGGCACACGGGAGGCGGTGTGGCCGCCCCGCGTCCCCTCCCTGCGCCGGGAATCCCAGCTGCGCCATGCCGGGATCCGTGTGCCCGTCCCGCATCTCCTCCCCGAGGCGGCACCCCGGCCCTGCTCCCTGAGGCCCGCTGTCCCCTGCACGGTTCCCCGTTCTCTCGTCACCCCATTCCCCGGGAAGCAGAAGCCGCCGGGGCAGAGGGTTTGGTGTGCCCCGAGGGTTTCCCGCCGCGTCGGCTCCCCGGGTGATTCCCAGAAGGCTCGGTGGAAGCAGCCAGGGTGACAGTCCCGCGGGCTCGGTCCCTGAGAGGTCCCTCCGGAAAAGATGAGCTGAATAAAGCCCTCAGCCAGCCCCGAGTCTCCAAGGCCTCACTCAGAAAGATGCCACATGTGTGAAATAAGACTGACCCGGTCTTCTTGGAATAATTTTATTTAATCAAAAAAGCCCAGAAACGGAGTCTTTAGTATACTCTATTTATGGGAATGCAAGGACAGGAGATGTACAGGTCGAAGCTACATCTGTAGGTGATCATATATACTGCAGTATAGTAACAACAACATGGGACAGCAAGTAGTCACCTCACAACAGTACACATGAGTGATCAGACTTACAAAGGAAATATTTACAAACCTGCCTTTACAAACCAACATTGTGTGCATACAACATGAAATCCGCAATAAAACTGAAGATACATTTAAGGCAGACCAGCAATACACTGAAATAATTAAGGCTGTGGAATTACTTTGCACCTTGAAAATGCTGAGCTGTTAAGAATACTGTTTCTTTTTTCCTCCTTCAGTGGATTGTTGCTAGGATTGAAAAGCATCAATACGTTCCAACTGTTTGCTCTTATCTCGGTGAATAAGTCTGAGAAGTCTGAGATTGATTTTTTTTTTTTTTTTGCACTTGCTATTGCATTTGCTTTCCAAAAGTTATCAGCAAACTGACCTCAGTGGCAGAGCAGTGTCGAACAGTTTTGTAGAAAGAGAAGTAAAAGCACCAGCATCAGAAGTTGGACATGAAGGTGAAATATGGCTTGAGTAGAGATGTTGGTTTTTCACTAGCTCCATAATAAAGACTACAGTTACAGCAAACATTCAGCATCCTGACGCTATGGAAACACTCAGCACTACACAGATCCCAGAACGAGAGTACATCACTTGATGGCAGTGTGCAGTCAGCCTAGTAAAATGGGATTTGATTTAGTTTCCTTGGGAAAGCACCATTTTCTGATGGGACATGAGTGAATGAGCTCAAAAATAAACCCAAGCCCTGTGTTAGAGGAGAATCCACCTCTGCTGTGAAAGAAACAAGAGGAAAAAAAGGTGGTGAGCCCCTGTGCATGTAAATTTTCTGCCAGAGCTTTATGTGCACAGAGAAGCCTTTACATCTGTGTCTGAAATTTATATTACCTTAGGTTACTTGACACAGTCCCTTCATTGCAAGGGCATTCTATATAATCAGATTATAATGTGTGGTTCTGCATTCAGCCTTTATGCACAGTATTTGTAGCACAGGCCTAGTAGCATTGTCAGAAATGCTCATGAACTCCACTGAAGCCACAGCCTCAGGGTCAGCTGAGGGCACAGTCTTTCTCTCAGCGTTAACTTAGAAGTAAAAAGATACATGTTACTGAAAAAACCCAATCTGTAGTCTTTTAAAAAGAAAGGGCGGGAAGACTAAATTAAACTTGTTGGTATCACTGAGAAGAGAGAGGCATATAATAAATTTTAAAGCCTGGATTGCTTTAAAATACTGAAGTCTACCACCCTGGACTGGCTGTGTCACCCCAACAGTACCATGCACAGGGGGCTGGGCAGCCTGGGGGTACATGGGGCATCCCCCAGGGCAGCAACACCTGATGGGGGCTGGCAGTTTACACTGGCCAGCAGAATTCCTGCCCTGGCCTGGCTGCTCCAAGTGGAGCAGAGACAGAGGTGAGTTAATTTCTCATTGCACATTCATTAAACGAATCCATCTTAAATAAGGCGCCCCCATGTCACTGCGTCCTCTGGGCTCTGTGTCACCAGCACCTTTGCTGCTGCCCTCCTGTCACCCAGCACCTGGGGACACTGTGAGCCACATTTTGCTGTCAGAGCAGGGTAAGAGCACTGTGGAGATGTCTGATGGCAGTGGCTGTGTGCACAGTGCCACTCCACACACAGCTTGTGGTGCACTGTTTCAGGATTCCTGTCCATCCTGGATGGTCGGAAGCTGCTGGAGAAGCTGAAGGGTGCAGCTACCACCACATTTTCAAGCCATCTTGGGAATACCCTGAGTGGTACACAGCTGCAGGTGGAAATCTTCCCCTTGGGGTCAGATATTCTCTGGGGAACTTCACTGAGAAACTGTGTTTGTTACAGACAATATTTCATGCACCAAAAAAATCCAGTCATTGGAGAATGCTACTCAGGGGGTTGGCTGTGGTGCTTCTTACTCAGCAGGTGCACTCCAGGCCTACTTACTCAGCTTCTGTTATCTCTTTAAAATGGAGTTATAGTTTTCAACAGAGTTACAGGACCTGTTGTATCTGCAGAGGCACCACAGGTTGGCTGAAAAAGACTTTGAAAGAGCGAAGTCAGGATACTTCCTCTGCATTTATCAAATGGCAATATTGCATGTCAACTTGGTATTATTCAGGCAAAAGCAAGAACGGTTGGTAATCACAAATGTTTTATGGAAGTTTTAACTGGTTCAAGTATTCCTGAATGGGCTGTAAGAAGAATGGTGTCCAGGAAGAGGTGTTCTAACATGAATATGGAAAAAGCAAAACCACAAAAGAAAGTGACCCCACAACATTCAACATCTTCAGAATTCAGGACCTCCAGCTCTCTCAACAAGGAGTCTTTTTTGAATTTGAGCACCAATATCTAATCATATATCATCTCTCTTTCAGCCTTTTGGGTTTTCTTTTCTGTTATTTGATAGCAATGAGAGGCTTAAATATTACCTTAAACAGTCTGGCTTTTTCCCCCTGTGCATTCAAAGGGTCTGCTGACGTAGTTTGACATATGAATGCAGGATGTAGGAAAACAAAATGCTAAATAACTCCAAATTTCATGTGATACACGAGAATTTGTTTGTATTAATGCCAAGCAGAAAGCTGGTGGCTCAAACTGTACCCATGGGCCTAATAAAAGCTGTGGGTTTTACAGACCACACTTCCACATACATTTTTTTAAGGGCAGCGCAATCACAGCACAAAGAGCCAGCTTTGACAAATAGGAAGAATTACAGACAGTCCTGTAGTGAGAAAGTACCTGAGGCTGGTGGTAATTAGAGACCCCCTTGACTGCTGTCTGTATTCAGTTGCTAAGAAATTGCATACTTTGCACTGTTGCTCTGAGAGTCTGCTCTTTATCTAAGAGGTGCTGCTGGATTGCTTAGAAAATCAGCTGCTGCTCTAGAGAGGAACTGAGATAGGTTCTAGATGATTTTCAGAAAGCTTACCCTTCTGTGAACACTTGTCTCTTTCAACCCTTGCCACACTCCCTCCCTGTATTAGATCTCTCACAGAACTGCTTCTGGCTCTGCTGAGGCCCCTGGGCTCACCCCTCTGCCTGTGCCTTCCCCATCTCAAGGGCTGTTCTTTGTTGCACACACTCAGTGTCGAGCACTGAGGGTTTTTGCTGTGCCTCTTCTCTGCTAACAAAATACTGACCACGCTGGTGTAGTGATAGAGCAAGCACAAAGAGAAAGGCCAGGTCTCCTGCCTGCTGTGAAAGGGAGCTTGGAGGTGGATCAAAAAAGGGCTATCAGAGCCCTGAGAATTTAACAGTACTTGCAGGGTATCTCCACCACCCACCGGCAGAGACAGCGCTTGCTCCTGCAGGCCCACAGTGCAGTTACTCAGATGGTAAATGAGATTTGACTCTCTCCCTTACCAGAGAGTCTGTATGAGCACACGTGGTCAGATCTAGTCCTTTTCCTTAGGAAAACCTTTGGTAACAACTGCCATTTCCCATTACAGACACACAAATGGTACTCAGCACCGAGACAAAGTCCCCACATGCCAGGGGAAACAAATCTCTTTGATTGTAACCCTACAAGGCTGTAGAGCTTTGTGGTGTGGCAGTAGGATGGGGAAGTCCCAGATGGACTTTTCCCTTCCAGTCTCATTTCTGGAAAGGAAGATTTGGCCAACCTACAAACTGCTGATTTGTCACTGCAGACTCCCTTATACTTAAGGCTGGCTCCATTGCTGTAACATCAATATGATGATGTTGCAACTTGGCTTGCAAGAGAGAAATGTTTTGATTGTGACTATTATTTTTTTATTACAAATTAGGCTTTGGACATAAAAATATCCTCATGAATGCTTTGGTTATGAGGTGCTAATGGTGGCTGAGAGATATTTACAAGTTTGGAAATGAAAAAAATGACATGCTTTAAACACTGAAAACAATTTTCAAGCTGTAAGCACAAGAATGAACTCACCACTCCTACTGCACTCTGAAAGGCTTAGATGGACTTTGGGCCATTCTGAAGCTAGAAATGGAACAGGATCCTTTATATTTATATATATTTATATCTATGATACAATATATGTATACTGAAAACCTGTGATAGAAAAAATTGTCTTCATCACCATCATCATCTAGTTTACAGATACTGCAAAAATTGGACTCTGCCTTTTCTCAATGCACAGGTTTTGCAAAAGATTTCTGTACAATGTGTATAAAATGCTTTTAAAAAACCCACCATAGTCCCATTGTGCTTAATCAGAACCAGCTGTATGCTCCAGTGAATTCATTGCCTTAATTGTAGCTCTGAAAAGTGCTGCACGTTGACTTAACACAGCAGAAAGCCCAAGCAGGGGCTTAATGGAGGATTTTGGTCTGAGCACTACCAACAGCGAATGTACCTAAGCCACGCCACCATGGGAGCTGATCCAGCAGTGACTGGAGCCTGATCTTGCATGTCTCTGCAGGCAAAGTCCCTACTGAAATCATGGCAGACCTGGGCATATGGGGCATGAGAAATATGACTGATAACCTGGAGCAGGCTTGCAATGATTTCAGCAAAAACTGACCAGTCCGGTTCTGCAG